TTGCCTCTGGGGGATTTATTTGTATCCTGTTTTTCCTCTGGAGAAGGATTTCTGATCTAAAAGGAAACTACTCCTCCTCATTGTTATGACAACTTCGCATAAATAGTTTACCTCCCATACCTACATCTCACTAGTATTTCGACTGTGACAGTAAGACATCCATTCTTTTTTGTTAACACCCATTTTATTTTTCATTTGCATCCACTGTAACCTTTGAAAAAAAGTCAGTTGCAGTGTTCAATAAATTGGGCTGCAAAATCAAGTCTGTAATCTGGAGCCCTGAGCAACCCAGTAATCTATGCAAGTTGCAATGCAAATGTTATAAATCTTTAACAGAGCCATGGCTGCTTTTGTGCATTTGATGAACATGCTAAGGTTCAGTGAGAGGCAAAAGGGCAAAACTAGGTATTCATATATTTTGCCCTGAAATGCAAACTGCAATAAGTCTCAGTTACTAGGATGAGAATGGACCTGTGAAAATTTATAGCATGAGCTAGTGCTCCTCTTTTTGTAAATACAAGTTAACAGTTACTGGAACTAGTGAAAAAAATAACTGTCCAATAGTATCTTCACGACCAGTAAATCTATGACAAATATTTATATTTTATGAGGTAGTGTCAACCAGTCCAAGCTCTGTAAATGTTATTAGCTCTCTGTATGTGCTTGTACAATGTAGCTGCAACACTCACCAAACTGTATCCTGGTACGGACTACTCCAACAGGAACATTATAGATCCTCTCCAGGTAGTTCTTTATGTCATACTTGGTCATTCTGTCCAGACATGTCCACAATAGATAGAGAAGAGACACAGATATGGAGAGAGAAAGAGAAAGAAAGCATTTAACATCCATGTTTGTTTGGAATAAAGAGTGGTATGAATGGGTGTGCAAGGTAGTAACAGTGGGAGGAAAAATATCTGTGGTTGAAGCTACTTGCTGGATCACTGTTTATCAAATGACACCACATTCACTTGACTGACACAGACAAGATACAGCCAATTTCTACATTGCATTCCCATAAACTGCTGTTATATTAGCTCCTGTAACAGACAGGAAACACCCCTATAAACCCATATTCTGCTTTTATTCTCTAGACCATAAAGTGGAAAGAAGTGTTCGGTGTTCATCCAATTAGCTGTCTGCATGTATTGATCGCGCCCGGTGAAACCCTACACAGGAAGTGGACCTGGCACCAACTGATCCGGTGGGCCAGCCCAGCTGAAGCTATAGCCCAATGGGCAGCATTTGGAAGGGACTGCTCCGACCAGAGGAAGAAAGGCTTTTAACTGCTAATCAATCTATCCAATTGGATTAGCTTGGTAGAGAGCACTTCCTAAATGCGTCTGACAAAGTGCTTAATAGCAACACTGTGGTCTGACATGAGTGCCTCGGATATGGTGTGTCCTATCACCTCATATGTTTCTTTGATAGAACAGCATAATTTAATATTCCCTATTTTTCAGAGGAAACAGCACAGTACCTTGAGCTGCTGTAATATTATAAGGTAAGTGAAACATTTTCATGAGAAAATCCCATCTGTGAGTGCAAGGATTCTTTGTATCTAATCGTGATGTAATAAATGTTTCCATGTTGTAGAAACAATAGCCTTTTCCTCTATAACAGACTAAATTTTGGCAAAGCTGACAGTGGTGTAGACAGACAAAACTTCCATTTGACCTGCTATGTTGTGTTTATCGAAAACTCTTATGCTTACATTTATGATAGCTGAGTAATTATTTCTACATTTGATTCCACCATTACAGAAAACAGGACAGTCTGATATGGCAACTTCTGAGTATGACAACACCAACTTCAGGCAGCTGCCTGCCACTGAGAGCAGAGAAAACTAAGCACTCACTGAGTTTTCCTTCTCAGAGCCAATACTGGTTCAGGGCCACTGGCAGATGGGGGCGGAGATGTTTATACATCTCTGTGTAAAGTACGGTGTAAATAAACTTGTGTAGGCCTCTTTAGCAAGTCAAAAGGTGACAGATGCTAAGATGTGGAATGTAGATGCACCTTTCTGCTCCATTTACACCCACCTCCCCCCATAACCCTTTTCCAAGTGTGTGTGCCAGAGGGCAGTGAGGTAGAGCGAAGTGACCAGGAGTACTTCAGATGAAGAGAGAAAGAGAGAAAGAGAGAGATTGTGCTGAGAAATGGGTTTTCCTAGAAAGCAGGGGCAGGGAACTGGAAAAGCAGAAAGTGGCTTGGGACTGTGAGGTCTCCTCTGGATTATTAGCAGAGAGAACACTGATCCTGATTAATGACGAGAGCATGTTATACATCCCTACTGCTTTTACCATTCCAATTATCCAACCACCACAAAAATACACATAGTACATATGAAGTATGTGCAAGAAGAGTCCTGTCTGTTACTCAGCAGATATATGATGCAAAGAAAAAAACCCTGAACAGTCACCAACATAATAACTGAAATTTTACCAATAAAAGAAACAAATGAAATGCAACAAAACACACAGGACACCTATAAATTCATCAAGGATACCAGTACTGTATGCTACATTATATAGCTGCGTTCTCTCTGATCTGAGTCAATACAGTACATGACTCCCATCTCAGCTACAACCTGGAATCCAGCCTCAGAGAAAGCCTTGGTCTAGAAGCTCAGGAGAAAATGTCAAGATAAGCATGTACATAAACAAGACTAAACTTAAACAAAGAATGTGGTGTCTCTACAAGTAACGCAGGCAGCATCTGCTCATCATTCCAGCATAAACACCCATCTGACTTCACAAGCTAGCCTTTCACACTTTTAATTCAGGAAGAATGAAAACCTGTCTCCTGCAGCTACCAAGGCTGAAGGCATCGTTCCTCAGCAACTGGTATATTTATATGCAAACACATATGGTACAAAGATGCCTTATCCAAGATGATAAAAGAACTCCAAACACAAAACCTAAAAGGGCATCAGATGACGCAGGTGATGAATTAGATTCAATTATGATCCGTCGTTCCCAAGCAGGTTTGAAACAAGCACACTGGCATCATTGTCAGAAAACAATTTAAAAAGTTATATTGTTCTGTATTATTGAGAGGGAGGTGTACAAGAGTGATACAACCTAAATCTGATATCATATTGTGCTAAAAGAAATAGGTCTCTGAAGTTATGCAGGCAAGGATGAAGGAATGGGCTAAATGTGATACCTTTATTATGCCCCACTGTAACATACAGAGAAGTGAAAAAGGAAAAACCAACATGAAGTGTTGCTGGACCACCATGTGTTGCCAGAACAGCTTCAATGTGCCTTGGCACTGATTCTACCAGAGGCATGAACACCATCATTCCACAATATTCCTGCTTTGATGATGGTGGTGGAGATGTTGTCTAACATGTCAGTCCAAAATTTCCTATAGGTGTTCAACGGGGTGAAGATCTGGGGACTGCGAACGCCATAGCATATCATTCATATCAAACTCACTCATAAAATCATGTATATGGGGGAACCATCATCCTGGAAGAGACTGCTCCCATTAGAACTGAAATGTTTTATCACAGCATAAAGGGGATCATTCATAACAACTTTGTATTGATCTGCAGTGACCCTTCCCTCTAAGTGGACCCAAACCATGCCAGCAAAATGGCCCCCGCAGCATAACAAAGCCACCAGATCCCCTCACTGTAGGGGTTGAAGCACAGAGGTTTTTCCTTGAATTTGTCACCTGCCTGTACTTTTGTACGTCACACAGCAAATTCATAAATTTGAAGACGATCCTACACATCTCTGTCAGCTGTTTTCAAATGTAAACCCTCCACTGCAATGAATCAACATGCTCCTGGATGGGTCCCATCCTCTAATGAGGGCGAACACACACAAAGCCAAGGAGACTATGAATGCCAGTTTGAGTGGTTTAAGCATTTCCACCTGTGGTTCAACATGTTGCTAAAGCTGTCTTCACTTGAGTACTCCAGACAACGTCCACAGAATCAGATCCAGGCATTGTCTAGAGTTGACCTTTCACACAAGCAGCACACAACAGGAGACAGTCCTGGATATAGACCTAAACTCAACTGCTGAGTTGGACCACAGACTGAAAGAAAAACAGCCAACAAGTGCTCAACATAAATGGGAATTCCTTCAAGACTGTTGATAAACCATTCCAGGTGATTACATCATGAAGCTGGTTGGCAGAACGCCAATAGTGTGCAAAGCTGCCACTTTGCAGAATATGAAAGATGTCTCCGGTATTGTTCTATAGTGTAGAAAATAGTGAAAAAATAAAACTTCAATGAGTAGGTGTGTCCAAACCTCTGACTGGCAAGCTGCACTACACTATCCTTTGCACGAGCGGTTCACCCTGTGCTTCCCTTAACCCTCACCTGACATAACCTCAGGGGCTGAAGTAGACTGTCCTGCTTAGAGTGGACAGAATAAATGTCAATGGTGAGTCATGCTTGAAGTATTGTTTGTATTACACTGCAAAAAATGAATGCCATGCCATGATCATTTAATGTGGTACACTGATAGAAACTGGGCTGCATACACATTTGGGTTTTATGCCTTTTTAGTTGGCAGATTAACTTTAAATATTACAAGGGAATGGAAAACAGGAGGATGCAGCCACATGTAAGGGTGATACAGAGTTGCAGTTTCAGACACTGTCAGTTTGGGGAAACCTCACAGCTTCAGCACATCATCAGAAACTAATGGGCCTTTATCTTGTATGGAACTTGCCTTATGTTACCCTGAAAATCCATTTTGCAAATGGTGGCAGCCAAACACCTACTAAACTTGATACAGATGTTCATTTATTTATTTTTTGCCAGGATTTGCTGCCCGAACTACTCTTGCATCAGCTAAAACCACAAAATTATGTACGTGTACATGAAAAATATCATGATGACCTCAGAAAAATGCATTAGCAAAGGGGAAAACCATTGTACCATCACTAACTGAAGAGACAGGACAACTTTACTACATAAAACCGTGTTCTCAAACAAGCAGGAGTGTTCCTCAGTAATAACAGACAGCTGCATTGTCCCTCTCACATGTAATGTTGTGTATTCTAATAAATCTCTCTTACTAGTTCGTGTAACCTTTATTAACACGCTGTAGTTAAGCAAACAGTCCACACACACACAGCATCAAAGAACCATACATTGTGTCCGAGCAGCTTAGTGGTGAGAATGAAAAAGAGAGTTGTTTTCTGTACAGATGAAAGGCAAAAGAAAGCCGCTCCTCATTGTCAGCCTGCTCCATTGTCAGGATTGGGTCGAGATACGTGCACTCACTAGTTCAACCCACCCATCTCCACAAACAATACATGCACAGAACCTACTCAACACTTAGTATCAAGATCATAATAGCAGACTTTGTTTAGAGGGAAAGCCATTGAGGAACCTGAGCCTTCGAGAGGGAAGAGACAGTTGAGAAGCTAAGAATATAGGAGCAGCGTGTGAAGGATTAGATTTATTGTTCGAGTTTTGGTCTGACAAAAGCACAGAAACAGATCAAAGAACAGGTCCCCAGGAGTCACCAAATTCTTAGTAAGATCTGACAGCTAGTTAAACTCCTCTACTGGTTCACTAAATTACTTCCTGTGACATAAACTGTGAGTAATTACTGAGAAAAATGCCCTGGTTTCTAACTTGAGCCATGTGTTTATGAAGTAGAAGAGAAAGAGTGATTGCCATGGCAATCATAGCATCAATTAATCCAACAGGTAAAGACGATGTGAGCTGCTATGTAGCAGGGTCAGTCTGCTCATTTGATCAAGTCTGATTAAAGTGAGAAACTGCAGCATGGTCTGGTTTCAGAGTCATTAAACGGTAGAGCAGCATGAAATGTGTCTGAGTTGTAAACTGAACACAATGTCCACCATTGTGTTTTTTTCTTTGTGTGTGTGTGTGTGTGTGTGTGTGTGTCGTCACACAAAGTCACCCGTTGTGTTTTTTTTTTTGTGTGTGTGTGTGTGTGTGTGTGTGTGTGTGTGTGTCAGCACTGGTTTCTATCCATGCCAGGTGAAGCACAAGAGGTGTGTGGGGAGTGTAAGCCTAGAAATTTGATGACGTTCCTGCCAGAGCAGAGGGAAAATACTAACAGAGAACAAAAGGCTGGAGAACAATCAAAAAGACAAACAAATACTTCTCTCCAGTTCGTAGAAAGAGAATTACAATAGAACGCAGCCCAGGTGTCTCAAACAACAAGTGCCAAGGAGGGATTGGTTTTGGACGTGTTGCAAAGCATTAAAATATATTTAAAAAAAAAAAAACAATAAATAACAGAGCCCAGGGTAGGACAGAGGGAGAGGACAGAGAAAGATGAGCAGCTGATAGAAAGTGAGTGATACTGCAAACAAGCAAGAAAACTAAAAAAAAAAAGCAAAAGAGAACAAGACAGACAACTATAGATATCTACCTCCTAGGTGTTATTGATATAAAGGCCATGTTGTGGAACTGCCCTGAGAAAGACAACATTACCACATTTCATTAACAGCTGCTTGGCACTACAACTTAACTACGCTAACACCGCCTACAGCTTACACTGCCGTAATGACTCAGGATCATCAATACACTGGGAGTGGGAGTCATATTTGGCTTGTATCACTGTTTCTCTGTGAGTGTCCATTTACTACATTGTATGTATTAAAAAAAATAGCAGTGTTTCAAGTGCGCACTCAGGCCCCAGCAGCATATCAATCAGCCACGCACTTCTCCCAGGCATCAAAGACTGCAAGAAAAAAAATCCTTAACACGCCCTTATAAACACATACGCACCCTGCACTTACCCACTTTTGTGCATGTGTACACAAAGACACACAACATTATCACAAACTGACTCACCCACACTGACAAGCGTGTGTGCACGCACACATACACACACATACACACAATTACATAAGCACCCTAGGAGTTTGGCAGAGACAAGGCAAGAATCAGAGTGGGAGGCCAGGCACCTGGATGAACAGATTATGGACTAAACCCCACCAGAGACACATAGATGATCTGCCTCAAACTTCAGTTTTTCTCCCCAGTGTGGGCTCTGAGCCTCTCATTGCCTGAGGAGTACTGTGAACCTCAATGACCTTGGCTCACAGAGGTAGTCAAAATCAGCTCATCACTACTAAGTGCTGACTGGTAAGGAACTCCTGTTGTGGTTTATGACAGAATAAATACTGTCCAAACCCACCAATTTGATGAGCTGTAAAATATGAAAAAAAAGAACTTATGTAGAGGAGAGCGTTCATGTGGAAAATTAGGAGGCTGTGAAGTTATGTTATACATATATACAGACAGGTGGCAAATTAAAGAAAAAAAAAAAACAAAAGCATAAAGTGACTTGGTAAAGTGTTGGGCCATGATGTGCTGCCAGAACAGCTTCAATGCACCTTGGCATTGATTCTACAAGCCTATGAAACTTCCACAAGACATTCTCTGATTTGATGCTTTTATGATGGCGGTGGCGACACTATTTAACACGTCTCCCAAAAAACATCTGTGGGTGTTCCCCTGGGTTGAGATCTTGTGACTGCAAAGGCCAAACCATATGATTCACAGCATTTTTATACTCAAACCATTCAGTGACCTCTCATGCCTTATGGATGGGGGGCATCATCATCATCTGTGGAGGAGACCAGTCATTTATTCAGGTTTTTCCCATAGTCACCTGTCTGTAGCATACTCCATTGGAAATTAGTTTTAGAGAATAATCAAGAACTTTTTGCTTTCATTCTCTGTGTAGATATTAATATTGGCCCATCTAAGTGACTAATGTTTGATGTTCCACTGTCTACAACATGCCCCAATCCTCCACTGCACCAAAAGACAAAAGAACTTTTGCCCATGTTAGCCTGTTTGGTTCAAGTCACTGCAATTGAGTTCATTAAGAACAATCATAAGGCAGTGAAAACCTTCTATACTGTTGAGGACCGATACCTCACATGCCAGTTCTTGAGGCTGTCACACCACCTGGTGGCCATTATGTCCAGCTCCAGCTGCATAGTACTGGTCCAGCAAGAATAATACAGTGCCAATAAAAACAAATTATTGCACCCTAAAACAGGAAGCATATGTTCACTCTGGTGGTCTGAATGACACTAAAATACTTCTGTAATTTAACAAAAGTAACAACCTAAACTAACTTTGATGCCAAATAAAACTGCTGATTTTGTAGTCTCAAAATATTCTGAGAAAACAAATTGCCTGAACGTAAAACTAGATCAGATCAGATGCTGCAATACTAAGAGGTAATAATTAATTAACAGCAGTGGACGTTATCAATGGATAGTAAGGGTGGTGTGTTACTATCAGTCAGAAATTTGTCAGAAATTTAGTCTGAGAAACTGTAATTTAAAAATTAATGACTAAATAAAACAGAATCCAGCATTAAAGGGAGTGGCTCTCCCATACATATATACAAACACAAACTGTTACTTACTTATGTATTATCATAGTTATAGTGCACAAGTATATTAGAGAATATGTAGTAATACCTACCTACCTGAAGATGGTGTACTAATCTAAGGAAAAGGACGTATGAACATTCATGTTGCCTACGCCAGATAAAACTTACTGAAGCTATTATCTACCAATAAAGGCTGAAATAACTCAAACTTATTCAGTATTATTCAGGCACCTCTACACCTCACCCTACCTACTCCATCTCTGTGCAAAACAATGTAAAAGAAACTACCCCAACCGCGCAAAGATTTGCGCCGGTGTGGCTCTACCATCAACATTAGTAGTGCTGCAGTTATTAATTGCTAGATTGATCATAAATTAAGCAATAACTGTCTAAACAGTTGTTTGTTTATAATGGAAACTGTATAACACAAATGATTAACAAACTGCTGAAAAAGAAAAGTTTGGGTTGGCAGTTATGGTTCCGGTTGGTGGGTTCTTTTTGGGGGAAACCGGCATGCATATAAGTTTGCAAATTGTGTTTAATAAAGTGAAGCAGCTATCGGGGGTTGTGTGGCGTATGTGGCACGGAAGCTCGCACGAAAAAGACCGTCTGACTCAAGTGTCATTCCTTAGCAAAATCCTCAGAATCCACTAGTTTTCCACAATATTGACCTATTGCCTAAAATCAAAACATCAACCAACTCTCAGTCACAATTCCCCATAGTAATCATTTTGATTGAGATACCACAGTACACAACTTGATGGTTAGTAGTATGAAATTACATGCCAGTAGAGAATCCAGCCATAGGATTTCCTTTAATGCACCTCTATATAATGACAAGCATTAACATTAACATTTGTTAAGTAAAAACTTACACCATTGGGACGCGAAACTGGACAGTGTCGGGAGGCTGCTGTTTTCCTGGCCTCACCAGGGTCAAGAACCAGTTGGGTCTGAAGATCCTAAGCTGAGGATTGCCTAGTTGGTAGAGAGGGTATCTGAAAGGAGACAACGAGGCAGACTCTTATCTTGTACAGTATCATTCCCATTTTCTTCAGTTACAATAACAACTGGGAAGATATCTAAACTCTGAGCTGCACACATAATCATGTAGAATTGTGGTGCAGTCTTAGTTTAATTAACAAATTGCTGTATTTAAAAAACAAACAAACAAGCAAAAACAGAGGGAGCTGTTGGGATATAATCACTATTTGTGGTTTGCTATATACTAACGAAACCACACAAACTACACTGTCTTCAGCCATTCCAGCTGTGAAAGTATCTGGCTCTTTAGCTCCACTTTTATCACCGGCTTGTCACAAACACTGTCTACTGTTTGGTGTAGAGCATTAAGTGTACACTGGGTTAAATGAAAACAATTAGAACATTTTATATCTCATTCATGTGAGTAAAAACATCACTTCAAAGCACAAAATAACCTGTTTGAGAAATTTTTCAACAGTTATACAAAAGAGATGCCAGGTCTCCCTCTCATATAGACAGACAGACAGTGAGTACAATGTTATCATAACTAGTATAATTAAGGATAATAGCTACAAAAAGTTAAAATAAACTGGAATGAATGAACAACCCTGATGCCCTCGCTCGTGAAACCTTGGTTGAATCCATCAAGAACAGTCAGTGAGTTACTTCAGTATCTACAGGACTTTACATCGACCCAAGCGTCATAGTTGATAAACCACATATCTAATAATGTAGCTACTACAAAAAATAAAATAAAAATAATGTAGCTACTACGGTTGTAGCCGCACGCTACCGTTAGCGGTTTGTTTTTAGCATAGCTAGCTAACGCTGGCTGCGTTGTTGCGTAACATTCACCGCTATCACACAGGCGACTGCTTGAAACGCACTGTAAATATGTAAAATAGACGAAAAGCCCGTGTGCTAATGTCAGAAGTTGCATACCGTTACAGTCATACTGGCCAGCTGGAAGACTGACTGAAAGATGCTAACGTTACAAAAAAGAGCTACTCTCTACTTGAGGTGTGCTTAATGCTATTTTACGCTTCAAATAAAAAGAAGTCCAGACTTACAGTAATCTTGTTACTGGCATCACGGAAACGGTTAGTTATGTCACATATGCTACAAGATAATTGTTTTGTGGTCTTTTCAAGGTTGTCAAAGGCTACACGTGCATAGATATACTTCCGGGAACAATCGCAGTGCGCATGCGCACTAGATTTTGTTTGTGCCCTTAAAGAGAAAGTTTGCAGCATGAATGCGTATTGACAAAGCTTTAAAATATTGACTCTATTAATGTAATATGAGAGCTATGGGTTATAATACATCCATCATTGACCCAAAGTATACTGAAGATATTTATACATGAGTTGAATGTATCTCAGTCTGAAGATGTTATATGTCTGCTGCACTAGATTGGGTCAAGGAATTAAATAAGACCTGTTGAGATTGAGATCCTGTTGCTGACGTTCAAAAAAGCTCATCAGGATTCTGAGTTTTGTTTTGTTTTTTTGGTGTCTATAAAGTCTTAATTATAAGAATTAAAAATAGTTTTTATAATCTGACAACACTGAACTACAAAGATATATACTAGTTATAATCAACAGAAAATGACCCAAACACATTTTAAGTTGATATCAGTATGCTGTCATTATTCTGGAAATTACTATATATTATATACTGTTATATTTTAACACATCCTACCAGTTGGTCTTTGTTATCCACAAGATTTTGATTCAAATTCTTACCAGTATACACAATAAGTAGTCTAACAGTATCCCAGTGAGAAGGTGTTTTGTTTATAAAGACAAATCTGGACATATTCAGAGTTGAATGTACACCTTCATTATTAATTCTGCAATTTTATTTAATCTTACAATAATCTTACACGGTCATTTAAACATGCACATGTACTATGTGCATTATACAGATTGAGAGGTAGAAATTAATAAATAGTCAATTGCATGTTTGTGATGAAACTAATAGGCAGTAGGCATTTGTGCTTCTCATTTGGCACAGTTGCTTCAGTCTCCCCTCAGATAGATGACAGCAGAATATTTAAGGAATGTCATTGTTGTGAACATTCTGTCAGGGCATATATGATGAGACAGCAGCAGAGGGAGACCCTGTCCCATCTTTCCTTCATACCCTATACCCCAGCATCTGACCTCACACCCACTACAATGTGCCTGCAACATGGGCAAGAATGATTGAAGGCCCCCTGAGTGGAATATGAATCCCTGGCTCAGCTGGTTCAGCCATGGCAGGAAATGGACTGCACTGGCAGCCCACACTATGCCTGGGAGGGAAGTTTCCATCAGTTAAGATGCCATGGAGTTTGTGTGTGTGTGTGTGTGTGTGCAGGGTGGTGCTGGAGGACAAGTAGACATTTGATTGTTGTTCAGTTGTTGTATCAGAATGTCCTGTCATTTCTAGAGTTGTCCAGTTGATGTTTTTGCCACAAGATAAAGAAATGTTCTCTGCTATTAGTTCATTGGTTGTTTACTTGTTTGTTGTTTGGACCTGGTTCATCTGACAGCTGATATGAGAGTCTGCTGGAGACTCATAAAAGTAGTAAGGCAGAGGTGGGACATTTAGTTTCATAACATATACTGTACTGTATCTGTAATCTGTATAGTTCACCACCTGTTACACATTCAAGCATTACATTGTTCAGTAAAATAAATGCTTAAGTTAAATTGAATTATATTAACTTTAAAATCCACAATTCAGCATATTTAGAGAGCGTTTGTTGGAGTAGGAATTGCAATGTCCAAGTAGATCTCGTTATATTGTGTTTTCTTTTATGCAAGAGCAGTGGTTGAAACAAACTTCAACTGGACTAGATTGCTAGGTCGAAGACATTTCACCTCTCATCCAAGAGGCTTCATCAGAACTGATAAGTTTTTTTCAGCTTACTATGACCTGGATGACTGAGAATCTGCACAGACAAGAGCAGTGGTTTGTAACTTAGTGATTGCTTGTTCAAATCCCCAGTCGGCCAGCTATTACTGATGACTTTTCTGATCTTCACAAAGCAGCTGAAGCTGGTGGCATCCAAAGATACAAAAAGGTGAAGGACTTTTCAAGAAATGTCAGCTACATAGCTGTCAGCTGTGTAGACAGAAGTGCACTTATAAATCATGAACTGGTTTAATGACTGGATTATCAACTGGGCAAATTAGCCAGCTGCCCCCGAGCCCCAGACCCTCCACGATCTCAGATGCTCCAGATTCACTGTCCAGCAATAATTTGATAAACTGTTTAATATGAAAAATATTAAAATAACCTTTGGGCACTTTATGCCATTATTAGACAGCTGATGAGAAATGAGCAGAGAGAGAGACAGAAAACAACATGTACAGTAACAAACAAAATCAGTTGATCTACAGAAAATAAGTGGAAACTAGGTATAATAATTGATTAATCATTTTTAACATTTGTAAACAGAAATTCCAACATAGTGCTGTCTCCAGTCTCTCAAATATAAAGATTTCCCCCTTTTCTTTGATTTATATCATTGTAAACTGAATATCTCTTGGCTCTTGGCTGTTGGTCAGATAAAATAAGATGTGAGGACGTCACCTTGGGAAACTGAGAAGGGCATTTTTCACAATCTTTAGACAGTTTATAGACTATGTGATTGATCATTTAATTGAGGAAATCAGCCATGAAAATAATTGTTACAGTACTTAATTTAAAAGGGGGAACACATGGGATTCACTTTTTTGTCCTGGGATCCACTAGGCATCTATGTGTTGGCATGATTTATGAAAAGATGCCTTTATAATGTATACTGCTCAAAAAAATAAAGGGAACACAGCATAGTTGAATGTCTTATTTTTGTGTTCCCTTTATTTTTTTGAGCAGTATACATTAAGAGATACAGGCATTAGCAAACTGCCAAGTAGGACTTTATTGCTATACCTTGCAGAAAAGCATTTATTTATGCACATACATAATGTATGTTATGTGTGTAAGCCTGATTTGCTCATCCTTTCTTCCTTGGCCTACTGTGAGTGCAGTAGCAGTAGCCACATTCATTACCTCAGTCAGGGTGCCAATGTTTAGCAAGGCTCCAGCCATTGCAGACCTAGGGGGAGTGCGGGGGCAGCAACATGAACCTTTGCAACCTTCAGCCAAAGGTCCGGTCTCACACTGTTGTCCAACTCTGCCATTTATAGACATGATAAAAGCTTGTTTGTTAATTCTTGCAGTTGAGCTCTTGGATAGAAAATAAAAGTTAACTATATTATCTAATTTCACTGGTTGCCATAGGACTATTAGCCTTATTAATGAGATTGTTTTGATTTTCAGATGACGGTGGCAAACGTCTGTGAGAGTTCTGCTGTGTGCATTACATTTTAAATTTTCTCTTTGTGAAAATGAATGTTACTTTTTCTGTTTATGGGACAATTTTGCAGAGGTGAGGTTATATTCTGGTTAATGGCTCAGCCATTTAACTTCCTGGCCTTTATAGCTACAGAACGTGCATGCATGCACACATATACACAGTGCCTCTCACAGACAGTACACATATGTATGCATGCACGCAAATAAATGGCACCTGTACTTAACTGGACATGTAAGGCTAATTTTAAGTTCTATCAGCAATCTGCTCTTTTTCATTGTAATTCAGACACTCAGCAAAGCCCACAGTTTATATACAAATGAAACTGAACTCCAACCACTTCTGTGTGTGCATGAGAGAGACAGAGAAAGAGAGAACTGGAATGAAGGTTCAGGTCTGGGGCAGTGGAAAGTGGCTGTTTGTGTGACAGTACAATAAGGGAGAAAGTGAGGGAGGAGGAGGGAAAGCTCTAACAGCGGAGGTAGATAGACAGAAACAGTTTGGTCTACAGTGGGATTGTCCCGCCAAGAGCAGGCGCTGGGGCCACATGGAAACTTCTCCCCTCCAACTCTAAAGCAGTCAGAGGAGAAGTTGTCAGTATTGAATATCCTAGAGAAGAAAAAAAAAGGGGGGGGAAACGGTAAATTGAAGATCCAGACATGAAGATGGAAAAGTTTGTCAGCTGAAGTGAATAGTTTTGCATTTAATGGGACCTGGTGTTTTAGTGTTTCTCCCTGAAGCCACTTCACCCTTCCATGAAGAATGGACCTTCTTGATGCCTTGAATCAGATCTCCAAATAATAGCTCGGCTGAAATATATAATTAAATAACTCAAGTTTTTATACGATGCTTTATGTGCAAACTACTGAAGCTAAAGACTCATATATATATATATACATCAGCAGGATCATCTTGTATTTTTCCATATAGCTACAGAGATATAGATGAAGAGAATGTACAGGAATACTTTCAAAGAAAAAGAGAGTTATGAATGAAAGGACTTGGAGTCCAGATTAGATTTTGCAGTGGTGTTTTAAATTCTGCTGTATGCTTGGACTACAGCACGTTATATAGGTTAAGTACTGTACCACAGTGGGGGTGAGGCAGATCTGTGTCAAGGGAACCAGTTTTCATTTTTGGCAACAGTTGTTTCTAAAACATCCCCCAATGACAATCTGTATCAGGTGCTTCATAAATACAAGACTATGGGCTTCAATCACTTGTTATTATTGAACAAGTCAGTCATTTTATTCTCACATTTTAGCCATTCTTCTCTGATTGGTCTGTCTTTTTTGTCAGTCCACAATTTGGTCCACACTGAAATATCACAATTATTGGCTATGACATTTGGTACAGAGGTTCCTGGGGATGAGTCCTAATCACTTGGAGATCCCCTGACTTTTCCTCCAGCATGTCAACCTTTTCACTCATCAAATGAAATATCTAAAGAGCTCTTTGATGCATTGGTACAGAATCTCAGTGGCGTTCCTCCTACCCATTCTGCAGCCTCTGTTACACCTGATAGCGCCCTCTATACCTATCTCCTGTGGAGTACCACAAAGCTCCATATCAGGGTCTATTTTATTTTCTCTGTATAAAATATGCTTCCTCTGGGGTTTATTGTTATAAAATATAATATCACTTACCACTGTTATGCAGCTGAGTTTAACCTATCATTGAAACCTAGTGGTCTATGCTGCTTTAACTTCCTTCAGACCAGCACTGCTGTAACCTTACTCAGCAGTCTTGGTTCCCTATCCCTGAATTTTAACTCCCATGCAAGACCTCTTGGTTTTATTTTTTATTCTAATTTTAAATTTGATACACAAATCAACTTTGTTGTCTGCACTAGCTTCTTTTATTTTACACCACTTGCAAAACTAAAATAATTCATGTTTGCTAATGATTTGGTGATTATAACACATGCCTTTATTTCCTCTCGCCTCAACTATTGCAACTTAGAAATCAGTCAGTCAGCCTTATCTCACCTGCAACTGGTTGAAAACACAGCAGCAAGACTGCTTACTTGAACCAAGAAGAGAAACCTTATCCAAGTACTGGCAGTACTGGCCTCTTTTCAGTGGTTACCAGTGAAATACAGAATGGATTTTAGGACCATTTTATTTGTTTATACTGTATAGCACTGCATGGTTTGTCACCATGTTTTCATCCCCAAACTCCTTGTCCCCTATTTCACCTCCACTAGGGTCCACCAGGTCCCTCATGTCTGCTGACCTGTTAGTGCTCTCCATTCCATGCACACAGTTAAAATGAAAATGTGATCCAGCATTACAGGGTGTTAATACTGTCATTGTAATTGAAGCGTTGCTGTCAAACCACCACCAATACAGCTTCACAGAGTTTCTAGCATGGCTCTAGACTTTTAGTCTTGTTAGCTTTAATTATAATGAAAATTTTCAAGAGGGGTTGTCAGCACTTGATAAACACAGAGCAACCTGCAATGACTAAACAGCAATTACTGCATGAAAATGCAGAGAAAGAAAAAAAGTATACATTACTTTTATTGTACTTAAACAATAAGTTACAGGCAATTTTTCAGTGTTGAAGGAAATGCAGTTTCAAGACTGGTCTTGAAATGTGAAGCACCTCTGTGACTTTTCCCACTAAATTATAAGAAGTTTTCAATACTTGCAACTTGAACTTTCTTTTGCCTGAATGAAGCAGGCAGTCCACTTGACCCACAAAACATAAACCCTTAGCCCTTCCACCCCACACCTTATTGAACCCTTTCCCTCTAGCCATCAACACTAAACCGGTGGTCAGAGGTAGTGGCCAGTTCAGGTCAAATTCCTGTTTTTTCATGTCCTGTGGTCACACTAGCAGAGAGAGTGTGTGCATGCCATGCAACAGTCCTCTGCCTATTAATAGCCATGAGGGATGAAGTCAGGAGCAATATGGATGGCGTGCAATTTAGACCCTCCCCTGCGGAAGTTCCATTGATGTCATGAGCCTGACCTCTGACCCTGGCTGCCACAGGGCCCATGTTCAGGGGTCAGAATTCAAGCAGGCGCACACATATTCATCTACAGGACAGGTACATGCCCACAAATGCACCTATCAAAATCATTTTGAGGCAAAGAGCTGTTTAACTATAAGAACAAAGATGCAGAGTACTGTGTACATCCATTTACCATGAGAATGGGGAGGCGGTGGTGCAGTGGATAGAGTAGTCGTCTCCCACCCAGAAGGTTAAAGATTAGAATCTCGGTGCCTCCAGTCCACATATCGAAGTGTCCTTGGGCAAGACACTGAACCCCCCGATGGTTAGAGCCATCAGTTGAGTTGACGCCGCAGATGGCTGCCATCGGTTCTGTGCCAGAAACAAATTCCTTGTGTGTAACATACTTGGCCATTAAAGGTTTTTATCCTTATAAAATAAAAATAAAAGCCTAGGCTATCACATGACAACAACTGACACACTAACTGACCTAAGTTTCTTTGTTATCTAGTTGATTTTGACATGGAAGCACTAATGTTTCCTGCAAGATGACGACGAAAAAGAAAGTAACAACAGAATCAGCTGTCTCATTCTAACCTGTGCTAAATCATCACAAAGTCACACATTATCACACAGTCATTATCAGAGATTTTGATATTGACTGCATTTGAAATTTGATGATTAAGAAGATCGCTCACATACAATAGGTTCCCACAGCCTTATCCAGTGTCTCTGCCCACACCAAAGTTACATCAAGGGGGGGCTGATGTGCACAAACAGTGACAGGGGCAGCTGATCTTTAAGGCATGTCAGCCCACACTCTTGGAATATCTGGTGCACAGCCGAAGACCTTAACATATAAACATAACAACGTTGTTAAAGATGTGATTCCTCTTGTCTTATTTTTGGTTCCAATAAAGTTGTTGTCAGATACCAATAGAGCCACAACCATGTTACAGTAAGAACTGTGTTGAAATAAATGGATAGTGATGCTGAATTCAAATTAGTCAGTGTACAGTTTAGGTTTCCTAAAATTGTGATAAATCATATGCTTGTGTGAGAGCTCGGAGTCAGTTTGACTCAGCATACACATTTATTGTCAGACAGTATGAGTAAAAAAGTAGCTGCCATTATGACTCCAGACACAATAGATGCTAACAGTTCAAATACCAGCTAATGCCACCTTCAGTCACACCACCACCCGGTCCCCTTGAGGCACTCATAGACAACATTCCTGCCCTCAGATGTCTTCTGCACACCACAAGTCACATAGCACAGTAAACCTTAATCTATAATAGGTAAAGGTAAGTAAATGTACTGTAAATAAGGTGTTTTGATATATCGCACCACACCCTGAATCCACAGCAGCTTCTAGTATTTATTCATATTTTGTTTTTCATTGGATGTGATTCTCCTGAAGCAGAAGCAACTACATGTCCAAAATAAGTCAACAGAACAAACATACAAAAAACATCTATGATATTATTCATAAAATTCTGGACAGAGTATGTAAGTTATTACTTTGGCTAAATTAGTATTGCATTTCAGGGCTACTCTAACTTGCAAAATGTTGAGATTACTTTTTCTCTTTCTTTCCTTTAAGAACAAAACCTAACACAGGATTAGCTGCATATTTGGACATGGTGAAATTGTGTTAACACTGTACTAAATATGTATCCTAATAATACAGATTTCCAGTTATTTTAATAGCTAATCGTTTTGCACTATATTTATCAGATTTTGTGTTTTGTGTCATTTATCTCATTTATTTGTTTATTCCATTGACAGTAAGGTTTGGTTTAACACCAAACCTGGACTTCAGTTTTGTTTTTGTTTTGTGTGTGTGTGTGTGTGTGTGTGTGTGTGTGTGTGTGTACATTTTATTTAACTGAACCTGAACTGACATGGCACGAAAAATGCATTGTGAATTTCAGGTTTTAACAGAGCACAACTAATTTATAGTGACAAGCCCTTTGGAAATTATTTGTATACCCAAACAGGCTACGTATGTTTATAATGTGATGCTTGGTTATGTTAGCTATTGAACTCCGGGTGCTTTGACAAGGATATTTGTTTATATTGAAATAAGTTAAAGACATCACTCTTTGCTCGCCATTAAAATATTAAACACCACAAAGAATGGCAAATGTCCCGAGCTTGCCGTGCCCAACACAGCCCTGACAATCTACCAAACCACTGGATGACAAGTCCCCACAGTCTTTACGCACAGACATATACGAGCACACATGGGGCTCCCTCCCTTCCAGGCTGTCCGTGGCCTCCTTGCCCTGGCGGCCAGCTCCAACACTCTGTCAAACCCTCCTGATCCCCCGTCTCCCTCTCTCCACCTTTCCCCTGAAGACACAACCCGGCGTTACGTCAGAAAGTGCAGGGCAAGCAAGACAGCGTCTTATGAGTTATTCGTACGCGTTGCTGCCAAACCCGGCTTGGGGCTGCTCACGAGCTCATTGCAGCCAATGCCGTTTACAAAGCCGACTCTTTTAAATCATCAGCACTATGTGGTAAGTGAATTATTCATTCACACTGTTTTACTTTGCAGCTGGGATTTTTTTCTCACAGATTTCTTCATATGACAGGTCCCTGTTGCCGGCACAATTGCGCAAAAAAAACAACAGTGTAAGCGGTACAAAGATAAAAGAGTAGTCTGATTTGCCCTGTAACCTCAATGAAAATGCTATGACATGATGAAGCAGCTGAGGTTTTTGACGCACAGAGCTTTTTGCGGCATTTTTTGTGCTTGATTATTTGCTTATCTCAAAAACAACATGCCCCACATTCGAAATAGGAACCCTAGCCCCATCCCAGAGGCAACATGGGACACGGGATTGAAGGAGATGAACGAGACCTGGAAAGGAGCTATAGCCTGTCTCGGGGTGGCCGTCTTCTTTGTAATGACCATCGGGATCATATACTGGCAAGTGGTGGACCAGCCCAACAAGAACTGGATCCTCAGGGGCACTTTTAGCGGACTGATCTGGGAGAGAAGAACCCACTCGCTGGTCATACAGACCCTGACGGAGGACAAGACCTATGTGGAGATTGACGTCGGAAATGTGGGGAACCCCGACGTCGAGGTTCCTTTTGTGAGGAACCTATGCTGGCTGAATAAAACGGAGTTCTGCTATACGTGGGACTCGGTGGCGGAGGTGAAGATCTCGCTGGAGGTGAATGAAGAGACAGAGACTGAGTGCTACAGTATGACTTGGGCGCCGGTGCATTGTCATGTGGAACTAAAGGTATAGTGTTTCTCAGCAGTCACGAAAACGCAGCTACTACGTTATTAACATGTAAAGACACTTCTACACATGTGAACGCTACATGCAGTTTAATCACTGCCAGTCATCTTTGCATGACAACATTATGGATTTGCATTATGTTGCCTACCAAGACAATACCAAGCTTTTGGTCATGCAAATCAATTACGAAGTGTTGAAATAGATTAAGTGTTTATTTTAAGGCCAATGATATTGCACTGAATTCGTGTGGTCTTTTAAGCCGAAATTATTTAAGTGACTTAAAAAACATAGAAATAATTTGACTTACATGAGTCAGGCTTTTATAAATGCTGTAATTTACATGAAAGTTTCCTGATTTTATATTGTTGGATCTGATGGTAGAGAGAAAGGGGAGTTTGATTCCTTAATTCCCTTTTCAACATTGTGCGTTAAATCTGCTTCGTCACAGTTGCTAGGCTTTTTTTATATAGCCCACCCAATACTTACTGTACTTCCTACCCGGCCTAACTGTCAAAGGCATTTAATAATTGGGATGTTTGAGGAGGCTAATCTGTTCCCAGTGGAACATTCTTTCCCATGTGGCGCGACTGCTCACAGAAAGTTCTTCCAATTAAAGTCGTCTTTATGTTTCTGACTTCCAGAATCCCGCCCTGTGCCTCTAAGGTGACCGCTTGTAGTACCTGTTTCGATTTGCTGCCATGAAAGAAATGACCTGCCAGTTTGCGCGTTTGTCTCCCTATGGGTAAAGAGGCTTTAATGCATGACAGGTTTTCTCCTAGAAAACACTCTGTTATGCAATCCCTCCTGCGGGATGTTTTCTGAGACAGTGTCATGAACCAGGATTCACATGTCTCTCTGCATTTCTGCACTAAATTAGCAGTCACAATGTCACACATTCAAACATGTACAGTGATAGCGTTAGAAACAGTTAAACATTTATTCATAGTCAAATTCACCAAGCTCACATTCATTAATTGGTTTTAGGCATTTAAGTGCTTTAATAATTGTTTTCAAATATCCACAGTATTTTGGTGGTGGTTACATGTGTGTTTGAAGGTGTCAGATTTAAGAAAATCGAACTTGTATTTTCTTTCATATATATATACCTTTTTTTTATCTCTTTCCTTATGCCTTTCTTGTGCCATCTTTGTGTGGGAATGCATATATATGTGTGTGTGTGTGTGTATCAATTCAGGACTGCTTCTCCATGACCAATGTGTCCTGGTACGGTGGTGCCACTGTCCGGAGTCAGACATGGCCGATCAATGACCAGAACGCCACCATGCAGCCTTTCATTGTCAATGATCTGAAGGACAATCCCTCTGGCTTCGGCTCTGCCCTGGAACACTACTTCCTGGGTTCATCAGGTAAGAGGGCATTGTTGGAATCAATTATTTGTAGCAGTTTACCGTCAATGGAGACTACCTCATTTGCAAAACTGGAGTCATAGTTCACCTTCACACATACTGTAGGTCTGTGACCTTTTCAAATCTTTCAAATGACACAGGGTCAGCTGCTTTGCCACACTTGCCATTAGTGCAGTGTTAGCACAAGGACTCAGGAAATTCGACCCCATATCCGCTGGTATGATGTGTAACGTGAATCCCGGGGAGTGAGGGAAGCCCTGCGGATGTTGTTGTGTTTTCTTGCCACCCGCCTTACCCACCCTACATGTGCATGTTTGTCTGTGTTTGAGCTAAGAAAAATGGCCCAGAACCAGCATCTACAACACACACATACCCCTGACAGGACAGGATGGCTGGCCCACAAATAGAGTGTAACACAATACCGTCTGTGTCATCTCAGTTTATTAATTTAGAGATTAGACTACAAAGGGAAACAAACCACCTTCAGCATCTTATATTAACTCTTAGGGATACTAGGGTAATTGCCTTTTGTTTCTATTAAAAGGGCAGGTTGGATGAGGGCCCTGCTGACTCTTATAACTCACCAGGCTATTTTGGGGGTGTTAGATTTTATCCTGGGGGCAAAAGGGGGGTGTGCGGACCACTGGCAGATGTGAATTGTTAATGTTACTGCCGAGGAACATTTGTGGTGTGTGTTTGTGTGTGGTAGCGGGGATAGCATTAACTCAGGAAATTTGCTCTCAAGTTGTCTGTGTGGACTCCTCTTACTGAGCTGCTGGGCAAACTAACCGGCCTGTATTCTCGAAAAACCTGTATGTCAATATTATATGAGACTGACTGCATTACAAGCAGACATGCTAGAAGTTGCAAAATCCATTTATACATAAATGCATATTACAGCAGATACATTTTAAAACATATAAATAAAATTATTGTCTGTGGGTGTGTTAGGGAATCCTCTGCATGTGTGTTTGTGTATGTTTGAGTATACTTAGCAACAACAAAGTTAAAGTGTTAATTAGCATAAATGTCAGGGCAACAAAGCTGTGTCAATGAGGTAATACAAACAATCATCTTTAATTATTTCACTGATTGTTACGTAATTGTAGCCTCACACACATTCGTTCACATATTAACAGAAATGCACACATTCATGTGCACATATGCCCATATGCACTGTGGGATTTTATGTAGCACGAGGACAGGCTTACCAAGAGACTCGCATGACTTAAATCCCTTATCCATCTTGTGAAAGGATGGAAGTAATTATCAGCACCCTGTAACCTTTTGTTTCTCTGTATAGCTTTGCACAGAGTAAAAAAAAGCACACACATGAGATCCAAATGAGAACAACTGTTTGAATGTTGCCAAGTAACCACATAGCCCCAAACATAGCAAACTGATGCTCAGCAATGGCAACAATGCCTATTGCAGCATTAAAGGTATATTTAACGTGATATCTTTCTTTACAGTTCAAGGATGTTTTTGTTTGGCTCTCCCAACCCCAAATCAGAACAAGTTGGGATGCTATGTAAAATCAAAATTAAAACTGAAAATTCTGATATGTAAATCATTTGTTTCCTGTATAACATTGAAAACAATACAGCAGCACATTATTTGATGTGATACCTCATCAATTTTATTTATCACGTTTTACCATGGTGTGATGCTGCTATGCCTTTGACTAATTTTGTCCCATTCTTCCTGCAAACAAATCTTACAGTGCACAGCGGTCCTGTAGATGTACACGATGCACACATCTGAGCTCAAAGAGAATAATTTTTCTCAACTGAAAGAGCACTGATAAATGATTTGGATGAAGTTGGACAGGGCAGATGTCTCACTCGTCTTTCATGCAAATAGTTTGTGAGTTAAAAATTGAAGAAATATAACAATGTATATGCTGTCATGCTTCAGGTCTGGCTATTTTATTCTGAACCATCAGGCTTAGGGTCTTGTGTTGCAGGTAGCAAAAGGATATGTTCTTATTTTTTCACCCTTGCACAAATTTGGCGTTTTGGTGATTCACCATGAGTCCTGGTAGGAGGAAAGGCACAATAGATGGAGAGTGTCAGAGGCACCCCAGTGACGCACTGGTGTTTTAGTGTCAAGATTGTCACCATAACTGACTTCCACTGCCTCCCTGCCCACCTCCCAAGACTACTGTGCATAGCAAAATGCACGTGCACAAGAAATCACTTTTACATATGTAACAATTTGTTTGTCTGTTTGTCTGCAAAGTGACCACTTCTCTTTGGTTCTTACTGGCATTTACAGCAATGTGCATGCAGTATGAGGGCCTCACCTGAATCTGATTGATCCCCTCAGTCAGGGGCTAGGTATATGTTTCATTTGCAGTCCCTTTTTAGTGTAAGGTACATTGCAATTATGCAAATTAGATCCACAGATTACCTTCATTAAATCAGTGATGAAATACAAGCAGCACCAGGCTGCTTCAGAAATAAGCATCTACTTCTTTCCAGCAGCTCTGACAAATGTAGTGCCTGAAACGTCACAGTTTATTGAATAACATGAAGCTGTCTGCGATGAACAGTATGATGTGGTAAAGTCTTAATTGTGGTTAACAGTGACAGTGGTGGGACAGTGAACAATTAAAGCAGCTTACAAGGTCATTATGGGAAACTAGGAGTTTATGCAACTCTGTGAAAACTCAGATTATTTATTTGTTTGTAGATTTGGCAGCAAAACATTATTTTTGTATGTAAATTGACCAAATCTAATTGAATGCAACACAAAAATAACTGCCAGAATGTAAAAGAAAGGTAACATACAGTACAAAATAAATAAGTAATTTATAACCACACTGACTATTATGTTTCCAAGCAAAATTGCAGAGAAAATGCAGCAACTGGGCTTTCAAAATATTTACATATGTGAATTCAAACCAAGAAAAAGATCAGCTTTCTAATAGTGTATTGCATCGCCATATTGTTCAGCAATTTGATACATAAAAATCATTTATAAAAAGGTGGAGTGCACACTTCACTGGAAGTGTGCCAGATACAGTGTGGTGTGGGTGAACTGGTTTTAATATCAGTATCATAGGTCAAATAATTATGGCTTATTACAAAAAAAAGTTTGCGTCAGAGTCTCTGACTTCCAAGTCCGAATGCAGTCAATGCTCGACTCTGAGTCCAAGTTCATCAATGTTCAAGTCCAGATCGAGTCACAAGTCCTGAAAATCTGAACTTGAGTTGGACTCAGTACTGCCCTTAGGATGGCTTCCCGAGGAAGGCAAGTGGTAGTGAGGGATACTAGAACTGATCCTGTTTTGATTTTTTTTCACATGTGAATTCATCTTAAAATATTCACTGCATATTAGCATGTACAACTCTGAGTCAATACTCTCACCGTTCTCTTAGGGAAAGCTGCTTTGAACACCAACTGCACACAGCAAGAGAAGTTATTGTGGTTGAATGTTTGATCTTGGCTCCTAACAAAACCCAGTATTTAATTATGATTTCACACCATCTCCGTGTGAGCTGCTGTGCACAAATGACCATGGTTGCAAACAAACTAAAAGCGCACTCTCTGTGTACTGACCATGGTGCCCTTGTAATGCAATGACTGTGCAACAAGGGCGTCCAAACATTTATTGTCATGCTCCCACTAAACTCCCACTTTTAACCAGTAAGGAATACAGTATGCTCATAAGAGAATGCTGGTGCACTTGTCCTGTACTGGGTTTCAACTGCAGTATGTTTGTTTTCCCCAGAACAGGCTCAGGAAAGGCAGCACCCTGATCTATGAGTCACCACATCTTGATGATTTGGTGAATTTTATTTAGAATTACTGGGCTTACAAATCTGTGTTTCACCCTGAAGACCTCATCATTGCTGAGATGCTATGTTTTGGCCTCAATCTGCTTTGGGGGAAACAAACCAATTTCAGTTTTAATTTAAAATTAGGATGTGCAGCTGTTGTACATGTGATTTGTAGTGTGTGCATGGGACCTGTCTTCACCAACTCTAGTTAGTCAAAGAAGCATATTATAAATGCAGTGGGGAATATGAAGCCGTGACTGACGATACTAACCTAAGAGGACTCCTGGGGACGGTTAAAATGCAAGACAGACAGACTGAAACACAGAGTGACAGAGCAAATGAAAGCCTACATACTGTACACCACTAGTTAAAAAGAATAAAGAATATAACACCAGTAGTAAAGTAGCAAATTAAAGAAGAGGTAGAAAAGTAAATCAGAGAGACAGGAGGAAAACTGTATGACATTTGAGAGTGTTACCAACTAGAGGAACTTATTGCTCCACCTGTCTTTATCCATACAAGGTCAGATTAGATATCACTGAGGCCAAAACATAACACGGGAAGCTTTAGGGATTTATTCCTACATTTACTCAACCTGAGATTCTGAGAATTTCTGGTTTTAGAGGGTAATTGTCAGCAGAAATGATGTTGGCTGAACTGTCAATATGCAGATGCCTTACAAATACTTTGGAAATGGAATAAAATGGACTAAAGACAAACCAACAATTAATTTCTTTAAATCTACATAGATGTCATCATCTTTGCTCAGTGGTGTCCATTAAGGGCCACTAGAATATATAAAATATTTGACATTTTGCAGCGAAAGAGATCTACTGTTTCTTATTCATTACATGTGCATGGCTACAACCCGATGTATAAAGCTAAAGTAATCAAATGGGACTTTTCACAACAGGCTGCTGTGAGTATGATAGCTGTAACGCTGCTGTCACCTCACTTGTTTGCACTTTGTTTATCCACTGGCTCTTCATATCTGCTTTTTGTCCATGCTAGCATTTATGAAATGAGTATTAGAAATTAAAATATGTGTCATGCAAGAGTCACAAGATTTGACAACAACTCCTTAAGATATTAAACCAGCTCCTACACACACCTACACAGATACTCTAAATATGAGCATTGTGCATACTCATTGCCCTTTTCTCTCTCTCTTTATGTCCATGATCTCACCATCATTCATTTTAACATAGTTTTTTCTCCCCTTTGCCTCACTATCTCTCTCAGCTTTTTAAAATTTCTATAGCTGACTCAATTTTTCCATGTGGGATCCAAAGAAATGGCACACTACTATGTCTGCTCATTTGTTGTTTGGTCTCTTGGAAGGAATCAGCCAAACACAATAAAGAGATTGGGATAAAAGTTACGAAACTGTCATGATTTGATTTTTCTTTCCACTAATGCCACTTAATCGGTTCTGATACAACAGAGCTTTATAATGGCATGGATCAGCTAAAAATGTACTGTTTCCATTTTACATTATATTGTGGGCAATAACAGAGTAGGCCAGACAGCTACAACAGCTTTGCAAAATATGCACAGTAAAGGATTTTAAAATATATCCACTTTTAGTATTTACTTTTGTTTTCTTTAGTTCACATGTCCGGTCAGTGATGACCTGATAATATATGTGTTGAGATGACTTGCTCAAACACGTTTAGTACCAAATAGCAGACAACATAGGTGACATTAAAACATGAAGCTTTGAATAGCTTCCAGTTTAGCATCTTCTTTATCTTTATGTCAGATCACTGATTCATACACACTGCTTGAAATGTTCAGTTTAATGTTGAAGAAAAACAAGCTACCCAAAACATTTCCTTGTGTTATTGGAAAGGTCACCAAGATACCCCTCGGCAGCTGCCCTGAAGCCTTGACTCTCGATGAAACACTACAAGAATGACTGAAACTGTTCAAAGTAAGCTCTTCTCTCTTGTATGCGATGACTACCGTATAAAACCATCCCACAAGATTTTCCACAGTCAATCTCCTACCTACAGTGATACCTTCTATAAAGGACAACAAGCAAGAGTCAGTAAAGAGAGAGTTTTTAAATGAGAGACTGATACAACAACTTCTGTTGACTAATGTAATTATCCTACGTGTCATCTCTGTATAAACCAGACTTAATCCATAACTGCTCAGGCCAGTGTGTTTCCTCTCTTGAATACTAAGCTACCTTTTCAAGTAGACATCAAAACATTACTACTGAACCACTGTAAGAATACGCTTGCTTCGCCAACTGAGGCTGGAGTAAATAAAAATGATTAAGGAAAAGAAAAGAATTTTTATTTCATTGTACTTCAAAGCATCTGAATGTGGAATCCTCTCATCTGATTTATTGGTAGTCATAAGGATGCATTTTTACTTTGTACCGAACACAGTGCCTCACACTTGAAACAATAAAACTGACTGATGATAGAAATAGAGAAGAATAAGTCTCTTTAGTGTTTCATTATTTTTTCAATAAGTGGGATTGGAAATTTACTGCCATGGAGAAATCCCAGTTTTGTGGCCATCAATTTCTTGAGGTCGGGCATGGAAACTAAGTTTCCATTGTTAAGGAAATACATGCCTGAACACACACTTGCACGCACCCACACACAGTCAGGGTTTAAATGCATATTTTTATAACTTCAGTCAGGTCTGTAAAGCATACACAGGTGTCATAAATAACAGTATAAATATGACAGGTAGGAAAGTGCAGCCCATCTGGTCAACAGCAGCAGGAAGTCAGGCAGCAGTGTTTTCCCACAGACCAGTCAATCTCCAAGGGCCTGACCCTCAGAAGGTGCATGGGGGTCACCTCTGCTACCACCTCCGAACAGTCAGCTCTGAGCGAGAGGAAGCACAGAGGGACCCTTTATGGGGCTATAAGTCCTCTTCTGTTTTTCTTGGAAGTCTAGCGTATCCAGTTTGTGTGAGTGCGTGTGAGAATGCACATATGTTCATGTGTGTAAAGAGGTGATCTGGGGTAGCTTGATTTGTGTGTAAAACTGAGGCATGTGTGTGAAGTCATTCAAATCTGCCAAATAAACCTCATTCATTTATACCTATCTGCCACTTTGAAGGTGCTGGGACATGATTGGTCAGGCGTATAATTTCACTTTTGAGAACTAGTGGAAAATATTTCGGGGAAAGCTTGGAGTGCTTAAGGAATTGTTCTAAAAATAGAGTCCACCCTCACTGCCCCTTTAACTACTGGGCACCCCTCCTTGGCTGTAACTCAAGGCCTCAAATCTGCTTTGCTTTCTTTAAATAACACTTATTGATTCTATCTTCCATCTGGTATATGCATCTAGAGATGCTTTTCAGTTGAAGATGTGTGTTTGTGTCATACAGAGACACTTATATAACCAGAGTTAGAAGTTCTGATTGGATCAGTCGTTCCCTATACTAAGGACACATACTCATACATTCAGAGTGGTGTGAGTAGATCTATAACAACACTTTAGACAGGATTTAGTATAGTTAACATTTAAATCTGCTGTTTAACCAAAGATGGAATAAAATGTATAGCTTCTTTTGTCCCATTTTCCTGGAGGCCCTGTCATTTCCCGTAAAAATTAAATGTGATTCAAAAAAGGCATGCTTGCAAACTGAAACTTCAATTTCCACCCAGTGTGCACTTTGGTGAAACACCCTGTTTTCAGCCTGATGTATCTGTACATCATTCTACGAGGCTGTTCAATGTCTGCTGAACTCTGCTCGGCCAGCTTTCTGTCCAACCTTCGACTACAGTGCATGTGCATTTATGTTACCTTTGCTTTTTTTTTTTTTTTTTTTTTTTACAAAATCATTTAGGCCATTTTGCCCTATGTAGTTAAAATGTATTGTGTTGTTTTCTAGCAAAAATGGACATTTGTCATTTCAGTCTATGAACCTGTAACAAGCAGTTTGCAGTGACCTAATACCTTGTGACAGCCAGCTGAGGTTACCAGTATCTCTTTGACATTATCCGTTGCAGACACGTGACTATTAGCCTGAGGTTGAAAGCTCTTCACTTGGCATATGCGGTACTTGAATAATGATCTCTGAAATTAGTAATCAGATTATAAACTGGTACATGACTATCCTGCCTGCCCCTGGTCCCTGCCTTCATGAGAACAGTAAGCCCATTGAAACTAGAGAGGGCTGCTGCGAGCCAAGCTCTCAGCCCCAGGTTCTCAGGCTTTCTGCCTGGTTTGGAAACCCTAATCTGCTCATTGATCAGCTCCAAATCTCAAATCCTAGTTTGGCTGCTTTGAGCATATTGTGCAAAAACTCAGGTGAGGAGCAAAGGATCAGGGTTGAATGTTCAAATTGGTAGTGGTTGGGTTCTGCTGAGCTAACATGGGACAGATCCACAGCCGAGCAAAGCTGGGAGGGAGAAGGTGAGATATACTGTGGGTAGGGGGCGGGGGTAACTCGAGAGGGAAGAGGCATTCCTTGCAGGGCAGCTACATCTGTGGACACAGTTATCTTCTTGGTATAATCTTATCTTTTCACACAGGCTCTGACGTACAGTAGGAGAGAAAACCAAGGAGTTCCTTTGCTGGATGCTTTTGGAAAAGCTGAAGTATTTAAATGCAGGTGTTCTTTGTTCACTGTTTTTTTTTCCAGTGAGAGAATGTGACAGAATAACATTCACTTTATATCTCATCCACTTAGCCCTTCCCTCACTGGTGGGCAGTGAAGTTGCTAGCAGTCCCAGGGTAAACTCTTCCAGTCACATACTGTCACATCTTATTCTAAGGAGTGTTTTTCTCACATCAGCGTGGAGCAGTATCAACTGGCGCAGCCTACACTCAACCTCCCACAACACTCCATTAATCCTGCTCATTCCAGTCTCTGTAACACTTGTACACTATGTCATTTAGGAGGAATCTGACTGAATTACACTTCCTCTAGTTTCTACTGCTTTAGTGAAACATTATATCATTAGTTTATGTGATTCACTGTAACAACAATTGTGAGTTTGTGTCATGTAGAGAAAATATCTCCCCGACCATCTCCTTTCTGTTTCTTGCCATGCAGGTGTTGCCGTTCTTGTGTCTCCTGATATCCCCCTGCAGCTAGGGCTGGAGAGCAGACAGCAGTTCTGCCTGCAGACACTGCCCAGTATGGAGCGTCTCCCTCTACAGTACACTGTGTGTGTGGCCCACACGGTGAAGGCTGCTCACCAGGAAGCAGCACAGCAACTCTCTCAGCACAGCAGGGAGTTACCCAGCATGAAAGCGCTGTGGTTAGTTTAGTTCTGATTAAGATTAGAGGTGGTGAGAATTTCTTCACCTCACTTTTTTGCCAGAAGGGGGATTTTGAGGATGTCTTAATACCAATAAGTCAAGCAGTGATGCATATGTGAGCACTGGCTGAAAGTTTGTGGATATTTAGGGAATCATAAACTAAAATTCATCTAAGTCCCTCAGAGCAGCAGGCCATGCATGATCCCTGTGTGTGTCCTACAGGCTGCCGTTCTGGAAGCTGCTCACCAACGTGGATTCAGGGCCGAAGGTGGAGAGAGAGCTGAGGATCTTCTCTAATCGTCTGAGGAGACACCAGCTCGGGGAGGGAGTCATCAGCCTCAATGAACATTCCACCACTCTCCTCTCTGATATGGTACTTATGATGGTAGACTTTCGTACACTGGAGTTTTAGGTACGCACATATTTTTCAAAGTCAGACCTGCTCGGGAGTTAGAAAAAAGATCTTAGAGATCTAAAACCAGAGAATGAGTTTCTGTGCCCAATATTAGAATGAAGACCAGTGAGAATGACACAGAGGTAACTGATAAAGAAGCTCAGTGCTCATCCTAATAACTGAAGAAGTTGATCTGGTACATTCAGTTGTTGATCCTTACAAATACTATTATAATCATTTGAAGAAGTAACTTTAATTCACCAAAAAAAAGAAGACTAAAGTAACACCATCACTTTACTTCTTCTACCATAGTGCCTCTTTTATTGATCACTTCATTGGTTGGTTTTAATGGTTTATGCCAGATCAGAGGGCATAAAAATAATCTACATTAATAAAGCTGGCCCCGATTCATGAACAGTTTCCTGCTGCCAAGCAAACTGAACTGTCTGTCTCTCTGATATCTCACTCCCTTCTCTCCTTGCATTAGGTTCAGGTTTAATAGCATGTTTCAACATAAAATAAGTGACCTAGAACAGGAAGCATTCCATCTTTACCTTTATAATAACTGTCTGTCATTTTAAAGATCAACTATTTCTATGCACTACACAAATAACCAACAGTGAAAGTGCACAAAAATTAACCTTAGTTATTATTTATTATTCATTTGGAGCTTAATTGGGCAAAACAAAAAAAATCAACCAAACATAAGCAGATTCTGAATCAAATATTGCTAATGTTGTTAAACTCTGGTTGCCTTTTTCCAAATGAGCCCCACCTACTTCAAACCAATGAGAAAAGAAAGGACAAAAACACAAATACATACATTTGTCATGAGAAACAACCAAAACTGTTTTTGTGCCAGACCACACTGCTCATAGTAAGAAGCTCACTGAGAAAAATGGATTTTTAGTTTGGTATCCTCGGTTTTGTGTGTTATCTTGTGCAATGGTTCTGTGACTCATAGCCCATTTAATTTAATCTTAGTTCATGAATATTTTTTTAAGGTACCTTCCCTTCAAGAACCACTTGCAGGCTTTAGTAAACACTTTAAAACATATCACAGTTTAACTTGTAGATGGACATTACAGCAAAGTATCTCTCTGTAATACAGATCTGATTTGCTGAAAGTTTTCTTGCTCGTCCTCTCTTCATTTGCCAAATTTTTTGCACCATGTAGGTGTCTCTTAATCCTCCTCTTGTGTGGCTGGTGAGGGTTCATTGGTCAGAGGATCAGACGTGTTCAAGGGCAGGGATGAAAGACTTTTCCTAAAATCTGCAGAGTGCAGGAGACATGTAGGGAACGTAGGAAGGTGGGCGGGTTCACAGAAATGTCACAAGGAGAAAAAAGATGATTTAGGGCTTGCTGTCTTTATGTTGCAGAGCTGCAGTTCACACCACCTATAGGTCATGCTCACCTAACATGTATGCAGGCATTCTACATTTCCTTAGCCACGATTTGTTCCATAGTTCCATAGTTCTGTTCTTTACAATGCCAGTACTTTATGTTTTAATTTCACATTTATTCAGTTGAATATTGTTGGGAACTGCCTGAAAACAGGACCAGCAGAGCAACAGTCAAGTGGATCTGTGTCAATATCAGGTGATATTCTATTACAAAACAAATATATCTGAGAGAATACAAACAGAGACCCCACTAACAGATCTCAGATTTCCCTGAGTGTGATAACTGCTGGATGTCAAAGAATTGGCTGGGTTGAGATTTGAAGGGATTGCAGCCAAGACTAACCCAGGCAGGTGATCCTGACGCCAGTTTGATGCTGCGATCTGACATGGACCGTGACACAGAAGAGGAGGCTGAGGAGTTTCCCATAATCAGTCCATCAAAGAGATTCATTCAAACACAATGCTTACAGTACAATCCCATCACCACTGTAGTAGGTATGAAAGGACAGAGAGAGGAGGACAATAGTAACTAGAAAATGGGCATCTAGTTTCCCTTGTCCACAATCTGTGGTATATCTATTGATATTAAGCGCCAGTGTTGTTGATTCTACTTTGCACAGTCCCCCTCAGTAACTGCCACAAAGAATCAACCAGGGGTACTGTGCTGCATGGACACTTAAAGCTGTCCATGAACCAGAAGGCTCTACAGAAGCAGGACTGGCAACAGTGACCATCTGTAAAAAATAGACTTCTCTTTCACTCCAGTTTTACAAGTATTCATAAAGGATCAGTCACACTATGACTTCCAGTTTCCATAATTGCTTGGAATTACTTGCTGAGCTTGGAAAATTTAGGTTATTAATAGTTTTCCATGTTTCTAAACTTATCACTGAGAGAGTAAATAATGTAGCTTTTTTCATACCTAGTTTGAAAAAAACAAAAGACTGAACACTTTGGTCAGCTTTATGTCTGTTTCTAGTATTCTGACCAGTTTGTGCAATTCACATTTAACTTTAAAAAAAAAAGCAGAATTAAAAACAAACAATCGGAGGAAATAGCTTTTAAAAAATTATATAATATGTGCTGATCTACTCTTTCTTCCCACCACAGCTTGGCCAGTTGGGGTCAGCCTTTGTATTAAAAGGTTTTGTTCCACAGTTATGTAATCTGAAATCTCTCTTTGACTTTAATATGTAAGTTCCAAAGGATTTTAATAAATTTTAAATTGTTCTGACAGAGGTCACAGCTATGACTTTACAAGAAATCAGTCTTTTTTATATAAAGATACTGTCTCATACCATTCAATGAACATTTGTTCAATGTTGTGCATCATAATGTTAAAAATAAATTATTTTATTAATAACATGAGAAGTGATTAATTCAGTGATTTTGAATTATGCTGGCATTAGGCTGCCTTCCTACAGCACACATCAGGCTGTACGGTGTTAACGTTACCAGACTATATGGCAGGATAAACAGTTATTGTATCTCACAGTGTATTGCTCTGCCTGTCTGCAGGACCATGACTACCTCAACACAAGAAAAAGGGGGATGTCCAAGAGACTGACCAGGGACTTCCCACTTGTCAAGCTTCTTAACATTTCCATCACCCTGTCCCCTTTCTTTGGCGTGGACACTACACAGTTCCACACCTCCCTCACTGATGGCACAGAGGCTTACTGGCTCAGTCTCCCGTCAGCCCCTCAGGGACAGCTGGTGAGATCTGACTGAAGTTAATCAATCAGTTTCTTTATTTTGATTTTGGTCATTCTTGTGGCAAAGAGCCATCTAGTTAAGTCTGGTTTCTTCTGTCCTTCAGATTCCTGTAATGAGTCAGTGGAGAGGTCAGTTCTGTGTAAAGCTGAATATCACCAACCCAGGAGCAGTGAGCTGGTTCTTGGACAGAGTGGGATCCCTGCAGGCCCATTTAGGGATGGAGTACATCATGCTGGAGGGGGGCGAGGGGAATCTCTTTGAGGAGCAGGCCCTGCGGCCGCCACAGGCTCTGGGTGGAGACAAGTACATCAGCCTACTGGCTGATCTGGCCACCAGGATAGGAGACTCCACCATCATGACAGCAGGGACACGGTAAGGCCCTCAGGCATCTTTATCAACAAGCATTTTCCCCCAGTGCCATCTTTTATCATTTGTAAAGTTTTTTTATTTTTTTTACATGGACCTCCGACATGCTCATTTTTAAGTCATGTTTGTGCTTATCGCATCTCAGGTCAAGCCACAAACCTCTGTTTGTGAGGATGACATGCTTACAGTCCAACTGGAGTCCGATGGGCCTGAAGGGCATCATTCCCTCGCTGCTGCACCACACGCTGCTGGGATACAATTTCCTCATTCCTGATGCAGTAGGTAATAGCACAGTCAGTGGGGTCACCTCAAAGAGTACTTGAATATTTTGCATAATTCTTTACTAGTTCACAAAAAACAGACAAAGAACACATCTGATCTTCTGGTTTTTGGCAAAAAAATTAAATGTATTCCTGTGATATTCCAAATTCTTCTTGTGAGGGAGCATCACAGTCATTCAGACAGCTGAGAAAACTGTCTGTGAGAAAACTATTTACTTTGAAGTGGACAAACAAAGAGCTGTCAGTGTGACAGACATAAGAGATGGCACACGAACATGAAACACAGAACACTGTTAATTTTCTGCTCACGTATGACATCCATCACTGTTGGTACAGTTGGGTGAAAAACTTTGCATTCCCCTTTATGAAATGTTCTCTAATGCATTGTATGTCCTCCTTAACCTCCTCCAACACCTTTGGGTACCCTCTGAGCAGCGTTTGTAGCCTTTCTGGTGTAATTTTAGCCCATTCTTCATAGTATACTTGTTCCAAGTTTACCAGATTGCTTGACTGTCTGCTATGTACAGCCCTCTTCAAATCGATCTACAGGATTTCATTGATATTGTAACTGGAAGAGGCGCTAGGAATCTTGCTCAAGAGCTATGTAAAAGTCCAAAGCAAACATTCATTTCATTATTTTACTATAACTTTCTTTTCATACACTCCCTGACTATTTTTGTCACTTAATAATTATGATGATGAAGGAACATTTGTACTAGCTGAATGTGCGTTAAATATTATGTTGATGAGAAAAAAAATTGATTTACTCTTTTTTGCCATTTTAAAGTAAGGGGATGCAAACTTTTACATCCAACTGTAGGTGTGAGAATTGTACTAGAATCTTGCAGCATGTGTGCATGTATAAATGGATTTATGAAGATTTTATTATTGTGTCATGGACACCCAGCTCATGTGGACATAAAAAAACACAAATTAATATAACCCAGAGCCAGGTGCATTTTCAACCAACACCACTAAGGGGCAAAACATAAAGAAAACTAGTTAAACCCTACAATTAAATGAAAAAAGTCACAGATAAGTCCTGTATACTGTACAGTTATCATACTGGAAAAATATAAAATAAAAAATAAAATAAAATAAAATACCATAAATTCATTGAAATACTTGTCTTATTTTTCAGTCTTTTGAGCCACAGTTAACAAACCTGTGCTGTCTTTTCACTTCCACCAGAAGCCGTCCCGTACTCAGTCCAGCTGGCCAGCTATTGGCCCAGGCTGGCTGGCCTCAATACATGTTTGTATTTCCGTTGCACATCATGAGCGTTGCTTATGCACAGTACATCATGGTGTCTGTCTTCTGTGCGACCACAACAGACATCAGCAGTAGGTGCACAACAGAGTAAACATGAATTTAGCAAACAGTTGTTTTACAGGCTTCATTATATCTTTTCATTATGCGCTGCCATCTCCTTCTCCTTTTTCTTTTTTTAAAGAGGGCGGGTCTCTTTCTTCTGCTGAGACATTTCCTGTTGCTCAGATTTTCTTTCTGCCAGTCAGAATGTAGTGCCATAGATGCCTGGGATGGGGGTAGAGTGGCACGCTTTGAGGCTAGCTTGTAAGGTAGGCCATATATCACACTTTTCATCCCGGTTTCAGCCCAGGCGAGGTTGGTTTCTGAGAAAATCGAAACACGTTAAATGTACTATGGTATAGGTTTGGAGCGGATCCTGGTGACAGTGGAAAGACAGCATTATATACACATTAAAATCAAAGTTCTATTCCAATTTTTCATCACTTGTACACCAGAATATTGCACAGTTTTATCTACTGTATTTCATGGACACCCTTACATCATCATACTATTACAATACAACAACAAAAAAAATTACTCACTTTCCCACTTTGCCCAAATCCCACAGTTCACACAGTGTACAGGATTTTCCTATTGGATATGTTCTACAAGCCAAAGGAAGGATGCCAGTTCAGTGTAGCTTAATAATTTCTGTGGCTCTGTTCTCTACAGGTGGCTCTCTGTCTGGAGAGTCGGTCACAGATGAGGAGTTGTTCATCCGTTGGTTGGAAATTGCAGCTTTTCTCCCTGTTATCAGCTTCCACACACCACCCTGGGTCTGCGGAGAGGACCGGGTATACAAGCATAAACCAAACACATAGTTACAAACAGTCAGAGCACATTAACTACTATGACACACTTTAACCCTCTTTCTTAAACATTGTTCCACAGCTGCGTCAACCACATTAGATGTAATTACAATAGTGACAGCAAAGTGGTTTTCAAGACAAGATAACAAGAGTTTCACTTGTGAAGATTTGCGGTGGAGAAATCAAATGAAATCACGCATGAACGCTTCCAGTGAGATGTTCTGAAAGGCAGTAAAAACTGCTCCCCAGCAGGAGAGCCAGTCCTCTCTCCTGCCACTCTGCAGGAAATCTGGAATGTACTGTTCACCATGCACAGCAAGAAAACAAAGCGTATATCTCAAAGGGTCCAATGGCAGATATCGATACTTTTGATAATGTTGTACCAGAGCTCAGGTTCTGGCACAGAAAAGCAACTTGATGCTTCTCAAGCCAGTGAAGGCTAGTTTTCCTTTTCCTGCCCTTCCCTTCTTCCCTCAATCGGAGCGATTCCTTGGACCTCCTCCCAACATCACCTGTGGTTAAGAGTCCATCTGTTCTGAATTACAGTCCCCCCTCTAGATTTATGACTTGCTCTCACTCTCGAGAGCCACTTCAGCAAGAATGGTAATGAATTTGAGGACAATTATTGGAAAAATATTTTACTGTGGCAATTAAGATCTCCATGAGTAGCCTAACTGACAAGTGTGAGTGGGAGTGATCAACTGCTTTTGAGAGGACTGAGGCAGTGAAATAACTTGGTTGACTTGTGTTGCATGACAAAGGTAAAGAATAGACCTTTTGGAAAGCTAGACATTTGACATCAGCAATGTTTTCCACGTTGGTCTCTTGCATGGCCTTCATCTAATAAATTCAGATTAAGTGAGACTGACAAAAGATTTTAGAGCAGAATAGCCTGCTTCATTACACATGATAAATGGCTCTGTTTTATGGGCACTTTACTGTACTTTAAATGTGGCACACATTTATTTCCAGAATGTGTGAGACTTCAGCCAGTCATAGACGGCAGCGACCGCACTGGAATAAAATAGCAGTAAAACCTCAAACCCACACACATGCCTGGCTTCTCAATTAGAGAAATATCCACTCATACCCGGGCTGTGACTTCAAGCTCATTCCTACAAATGTTCTCAATCTCAGCACACAAAAATACATTTTTTTAATAGATGGGGTCAAGTCTTGTTTTTGTCATGGCAGACTTGGCCCTTCCAAGAATGCCAGACCCGTTTGGCCAAAGAGAGTCAGGAGAAGGACTTGGACAATGTTGAATCCACTAAGTCAAAAAGGAGTTGCTTTTACGTTCTGTCTGCATGTCTGGGTGCAGAGATGGCACCAATGTCTTTAGCAGACCTCAGTATTATTCTTGTCCTGAAATTATGGACCTTTATATAAACATTGTGTATTTTAAATATATCTGTGGCATTTTATTCACCCAGAGTGGTTTAGATTTCTCTAAATCTGTCTTTACTAATTGGCCAGATTCCCCTCTGTCCTCTAGCACTGCCTTTCCCAAACCTGGGGTTGCAGACCTGTTTTTATTGGGTCACCAGTTTACAGAGTATAATGCTTAATAGTGCTACAATATGTGAATTCATTTGCTGCATTTCTCTTTTGCGTCTCGAGCTGAAAAAGTCTGGGAACCCAGACTCTAACGTGCTGTTTTGGAAATCATTAACATAAAATGTATATTATTTATGAGCACATACTCCGGTTGGCTGAAGGTGACAATTTTTCTAACAAAGTGGCTGGAAGGACAAAGTAGCTTTAGCACATTTTCATTTAGCTCCCTCACTCTCATTTTAGCGCTGTGCTGGGGGTGGGCTTATCCTCTCATATCACAATTTCCCTCTTGGGTATGACATTAGAACAAGATCAGTTTCAACACTACTGGCTCTCATGGTGGAAGACTGAAAATTTTAAATAACATGAAAACACAGTGGAGAACGAGTTTAGTAATGTGACTGTAGAGAAGGACCATCACCTCAATCCATCTCAAACCTATTTTTTCTCCCATCATACTACCTCTTTAATAAAATACATAAATTGTTCACTATTAAAATATAGCGTGAAAAAATGGCAGACAACCAGTCAAAACCTCTTGATGAGATAACTTTTGTAATGGCAGGAATATACAAATAGATTTAAGTTGATATTTTTCTTGCTATTGGTGACCCAAAGGTGCTAAACCTAACTCGGACCTACATAGCAAAACACCAGAAGGATGTGGTACCACTGATAGAAAGGTATGCAGAGGAGTGGCGGATGACGGGAAACCCCATCTACCGGCCAATGTGGTGGCTCAGTCCCAGTGACCCCATGACCTTCACCATCGATGACCAGTTCCTCATTGGAGACGAGGTGACTAATGGAGGGGGACTGAGTTCCTTTTGTCAGAATTCAATAAAGCTGGCATCCAATAGGGTTTGTCTCAACATGATCCCTTACAATCTCCCTGACATCTGAAATTGTGTGTGTGTTTTGCAGGTATTGGTGGCACCAGTAGTGGAGAAGGGGGCAGTGCAGAGGGATATTTATTTACCTGACGGGGGCTTCCAGTGGCGGGACAGCCAGAATGCTCAGGTGTTTGATGGGGGGACGTTCCTACAGGACTACCCTGTGCCCCTGGAGGACGTGGCAGTTTTCTTAAGGAGAAGCTGAATCATTTGGTTGATCTACCGAGTCACCTGACTTATCCTGTTACTGTTTTAAATCAAATTCTTATTTTTTAAAGTACTTGTGCTGTTTTCAACTTGCACTTTTCCACTAAAGACCATTGATCCAGTCTCAAGGCTCTGTCTTGAGGATTGATATGTTGAAAGATTTTTTTTTTATACCTGCACTTTACAGTTCAAAGATTTGTATTTTTTCATTTGTGACATTTTCATTCTTCCTTTTTTAAAAATGTTAATCAGTTTTACCTCTTTGCTGAATTGTTTCTGGACTTTTTGACCTTTTTTGTTTTTTGTATATAACCTTCGGAAAAATCTGTGTGTTTACATACTGCATTTTTATAGTCCTTAAATTTTTAGTTGCTGCTGGCTCTGTTGATAAGGAGGAACAAAGCAAGCCCTTTGTTTGCTTAAAAAGAATCAGATTTTCTCAAGACCAAATGAAGATATAGAACTACAAAGGAAGATGTTTAAGCAGGCTTTTTGGTGTGAAATGCTTATTAGGAGGAAACTAGAAAGCTTCATATGGGAACCAGTTAACCATGGTACCGCATGTCTAGCTCATTCATCGGAAAGGCTTCTACTTGAACTTGTCCGGTCAAATGGCTGATGTTTTATGAATGTACCTCAAGTTATAGTTTTCACTGCTTTGCAGCGTCATCAAACACAACAACCAATCACCCCTTAGCACTTATTCTTAGAATAGTTTCACTTAAACTAAAAATCAACACACCACTTTGTTGGACACATCTGAATGTCCTTTAGTACTGTAGGCCATATGAACTTGAGGCCAAGCCACTGCCATTTTAACTTTGATTATATTTGAATTGGGATTAGACTTTACTGCTAACCTGCTTTAGTAAGGACTCATTTTGTTTTAACTAACTTTGATGTGTTGATATGCTCTTGAAGGAAACAGGAAATCTTTGATGACACCACAGAGGTGAAAAAGAGATTTGTCACTTCAGGAAATACATTTATTCACTTTTTTTGCAGAGTTAAATGAGAAGACAACCACTCTGATGTCTGTCTGGTAAATATATACTGACAACCAGCTGCTAGTTAGCTTATCTTAGCATAAAGTATGAATATGGGAAAAGAGCTAGCCTGGTCCCAAGGTAGCAAGAGTGGCATGTCTAAAGCTCAGTGTTTAAAAAGTTCTATATATTTTGCTTAAATGCCTAAGTGCAAAAACAACAAGTTGTTGTTTTATAAGGGTTTGTGTGTCAGACTATCACTTGACCAGAAGCAGTGACATCCTTCAGTTTTAGTGCTAAACTTAGCTAATCATCTCCTGTTAGTAGGCTACACTTCTTACAGGCAAATATGAGAGTGGTATCAAACTTCTCACTAACTCTCAAACTAATTAATAAACATATTCACCAAAAAAGAATACTTTGACATGTAAAAAAATTGCAGCCATCTTGGATTTACAAGAAATTGTTGGAAGCATAATCTTCTCTGCACAATCTCTGCACACAGGTGCAGTGACCACTTGACTTAAACATGAGTAATTACATTTATTTTGTGATTATATTCAGTTATATCCAAGAAAAAATGTAATGACCTTGGCTCTGTGATCCTTTGTTCTATGTACAGTCAGTTGAGAGTGCTTTTCTTTACTGATTTGTTCTTCAAGACAATCTTAGCTGGCCAGCGGTAACGGTACAGCCTCTGAAAACCTATCATTTACTGAATGCTTTACCACTAAATTAACTGCGTATCTTTGATTTAAGTTTACTGTATTGAGTCAAACACTCAGGTCTACTGAAGCATATAAAATCACCATGTCTTAGTACAATGTTGCGAACACATCAACGTCTTAATCTCTCTTAGAGTTGAATGTACAATGGATAAACTGTGATTTCCCAGCCCAGCCCTTCGTGTGAGGAGCTCTGCTAGTTCTTGTTCTAATGGAATGCTGTGGTATGTTCA